TTCAAATTCTTCCTTCAGAAGGAGATGGGAATGAGAAAAAGGGAGGCAGGGGAGGGAGGAAAGGAAGTCCCGCCTTAGCACTTGGCCACCAAGCAACTCTGCCATTGACTTTGCTTGTCAAAAGGTTGCAGAAGGGGATCACATGACCCTGGAACACTGTGACCATTATAAATATGAATCAGTTGTCAAGCATGCAAATATAAATCACATGACCCTGGGCATGCTGCAATGGTCATAAGTGTGAAAATGGTCATAAGTCATTTCAGTGCAATTGCAACTTTGAACAGGTTTTTTGGGGGGTCATCAAGTTTTTGACACCTTGCTAGGTGGTACTCGAATCCTAAAAGTGGTACAATCGGTAAAAAGGTTGAAAAGCCCTGCTATAGAGCATGGGTGTCAAACTCGTCACGTCACATGACACATCGTGACGTATTGAGACTTTTTTTTTGCATTGCCGGAACTGGGGTGGGCGCGGCCTCCATATGATGCAACCGGCCCACGGGCCGGCAGTTTGACACCCTGCTCTAGAGAGAAATCTATATATTTTCTGAAAAGTCTTGTATAGATATGATGAGAGATGGTGAACAAATTAATATAGTTGATACTATTGGCTGGCTGTCCTGGCAGACTGTCCAGAAGTTGGAAAAGTTGCAGAAGACTGGAGTATATTCAAAGGAATTTGTAGCTATTCTCATTCATCCTAACTATGAAAAGAACTGGTATGGAGGAAAAGATCAGGGTCAAGTCAGAATCAGTGAGAGACAGAGGCAAATCAAATTTCTTTCATCCCAGTTCTAAGACTTCTGTATCTTTTTCTGAACTTTCTATGCATCTGCTCAGATTATGCTTTTCCTCTCTAAGAGTTTTCTTTGTAGAATCTATACTGGGCCAATTTTATATTTCTCTTCAAATACTCTCCAACCTTTCATTTGCTGTTGCTGTTTTATTTTTTCCAGAATTCTGATAGCATCAAAACTAGAGAAATTAATTTTAGCCATCCTGCAGTACTGTCTATTGTGCTCATTTCCAGTATGGTCAAGTAATTATGCTGGTGATTCAGCTTTCTCTGAAAAACTCGCATGTATATTAAACATCAAGCTCTGAAACTCATTCTGTGTGCATTTGTTTTCTTTGTTATCAAATATATCAGGGAGGCACAGGGATGAGCAGCAATTTACAGTCATCCAGTCACAAGTAGGTAATTTATTGCAGCAATGGTCTTGCTGCTAAACATTTAAAATCCCATTAAAGACAGCAGGGTTTAAGTAGTCTGCATGCACGACAAATAACATATTTAAAAATATTTATGAGATATAGAGCAGACAACTGTGTGACTCCAGATACTGAACTTTATTTCCTAGTACTTCAATGAATCATAGCCCATGAAGATACATTCTGGGAATTATGGTTAGCCATTACTGGAGGGCATACGTTGTTACTTGTAGAATGTAACTAGTGGATAAATAAACATAGTATTACAGTAGTCCAAATTAAGGTCTTCCAGCCATGGAAATTTATTTTTTTTTCTGCCCACCTTCTTGGCCATACTCTTCCATCTCCTCCCACTGCAAAGAGACTTCCTTTGTGCATTGTTGTACATTGGATAGGAAATTATATATAAAGGACATGGCAGTAGGCCAGGGATTGGTAGTACCACCCTCTTCTGCAGTATTTTTTAAAGAATGGGCAGGTACAGACAAGGTGTAGTTTGGTGTACAGAGCTTGAGAAGAATCACCTTTGTTTTATGCTTCAAGGGAAGAAAGTTGTAGAGCAGCCCCAACTGCTCTGCAACTTTCCCAAATGCTTTGGCATCTAAACGTAGTTCCTGGATGATATCATGAGAATATTCTTAGTAATTTGACATGCCTGTAAAAGGCTAGAGTGGAAGACATACTTTCCAGATAGCCAGGGACCTTCTTTGTAAGCAGGAAAACTGGATCAATCAGAAGCAGGCGATCCAGAGGCTGCAAAAGCACACAAGCACAGCAAGTCCTTTAGAAATATTTAAGCAATGTTTAAACAGGTCGCAACATGATCGAGATCTTTATGAGTGCTGCAAGGCTAGAGCAGGGGTCGGCAACCTTGGCTCTTTTATGACCCGTGGACTTCAACTCCCAGAATTCCTGAGCCAGCCAAGCTGGCTCAGGAATTCTGGGAGTTGAAGTCCACGAGTCATAAAAGAGCCAAGGTTGCCTACCCCTGGGTTAGAGCAACAGCTTTGGCTGCTATGTCAGATTGGTTCGAGAAACGCATATGAAATGGAGAAATAGTATTACCCGTAAAAACTGAAACTAAGCGCCCTTCTGTGCTTGCACTTTGAATCATCTGTGTCTTGTTCACAGCATGGAGGGAGGGGAACTCTTCACTCGAATCCAGGAGCGAGGAGACCAAGCTTTCACAGAAAAAGGTAGAACATCAAGGAGCTTTTATGAACACATTTTTGGAAGTTAGAATTTAGATAAACTCTTCATTCTTACTATTTTAAAGACATTCTAATCGAATTAAAATTGGTTAACTTTTTCAAAACTGCTGTAGAACGTCTGATTATTTTTATTTCTAAATGCCTGAAAACTCACAGAAATATAAATTTCACTGGGGACATGTGCATTGTTTTTAATGAAAAACCATCCAAATTTAAATAATGAGGCTTTCACATTATAGATTGAAGCTTCGCCAAATACTGCTGTTTATTTCAAAATAATATTTAATAAATAATATTTATTTCAACATACACAAAAGGTGTTTGTTTAGTAATTTAAAAAAAATTGTTCAGTGTATTGCGGGTATGTAATGTACAAAATTTCATGTCAATGGTATTGTTGCCTTTTTAACCAAAGGACTGAGAAACAGAAATAAATTAATTAACGATTGTCATTCTCAAAGCAAAACACAAGTCTTAGTGCTAATTTTATTATTTTTCCCTGACATAAGCAAGCTGGTTGCTACTGTAGTTAGAAACACTGTATATTTCTAAGATACCACAAGAATGCTAATGTGACCTTTCTATAAAATAACATTTCTAGAAGCCTCCGAAATAATGAGAGACATTGGAACAGCTATCCAACATCTTCATGGAATGAACATAGCTCATAGAGATGTCAAGGTGAGAACTGAACGTGTTTACACATGTAGTTACACATGTAAACAGTTGATTGCATAGGCCTGTTTTGACACTGAGAGGAGCAGTTTGAACCAAACATTTAAGTCACACTCTGGTGCAGGAATCCAAGTATCTTTTAAAAGTCAGTCCATTTAAATAAGGGATAAAGAAGGCCTAATCAGTTTAAAACTGGCCGCAATATTAAAATGTACTGATATTTAAAAGTAAACTTGGTTCTAGCTACAAACCAAACATAATTAAAAATTCAGAAGAGATTAGTACCAAGAAAATATCCTGTTAATCTTTATTTGTATTCCTTTTTTATATATACAATTCCAGCCAGAAAACCTTCTTTATACATCCAAAGAGAAAGAATCAGTGCTTAAGCTCACAGATTTTGGGTTTGCTAAAGAGACAACCATACAGAACGCACTGCAGACTCCTTGTTACACTCCTTACTATGTAGGTAAGTTTGGCTTTTTTCCTATCTTCTGATTTATTCATTCTGGAAATCAAGAAATTATTACACTTTCATAAATGCACTCAACTCTTGCTGTTAGAAGTAAAAAGTCAGTTACTAGACAGTTGAGTTCTAACCTATGGATATATGCAATCAGGGCTTTTTTTGTCATAGAACGCCCAGAACGGAGTTCCGGCACCTTTTTGGGATGGAACCTTGTAGGGTAGGCAAGGCGGGTTGTATGACGTGTTTGAGTTCCGGCACTTTTTTTTTTTTTTTTACAAAAAAAGCACTGCATGCAATTATATTAAAGCATACTATAGCAGAGGTTCCCAAACTTTTGGGCAGCAGGTTCCGTGGAGAGAGATTTTTCCATGGACCAGAGGGGGTGTGGTTTCGTGTGCTGCCTGCATCCAGCAAATGGGGTTTTGCTTGTTTGTGCGGAGCAGTTTCTGGCATACTGTGCCAGAGACCCCTGTACTATAGTATATATAGTATACCAAAACAGTCAGAGATCAAATCCAAAGACACCAATCCAGGATTAGAGGAAAATGGGCCCTTTGCATAGTCACAACAGGCTGAGTTAATTTCCATTGTCAGTATTGGACCTCAGCAAGCAATGTAGTGTGCAAATTGGTGTTTTGTGGGATTTGTAGGCAAAAAAAAAACGTCCCTGTAACAACTGACAAATTATACTGATTTAGATTTAGATAACCTTTATTGTCGTTTTTTCCTGTGGGCACAACGGCACACATTAAAAATGAAATTTAGTTGCTTGCTCTCAAGTGTACACATACATAACACACATTTAAAACATACTATATACAACATATGTATAGACCTACACCAGGGGTAGGCAACCTTGGCTCTTTTATGACTCGTGGACTTCAACTCCCAGAATTCCTGAGCCAGCCATGCTGAGGGGAAAGGGAGAGGTTTCCAAGCTGAGCCATGCTGGCTCAGGAATTTTGGGAGTTGAAGTCCACGAGTCATAAAAGAGCCACGGTTGCCTACCCCTGACCTACACCCTTACATATAAGTAACATATAAATATTAATCACTGTCTGTCTTGAATACATAACGGAAAGAGGAAGCTTGAGAGTTCACAAGGTTAATACTGTATGGAACAAAACTGTGGCTGAATCTGGATGTTCTGCTTCGGATACCACGGAGCCTCTTCCCAGAAGGTAACAAGGGAAGAGGCTCCGTGGTATCCGAAGCAGAACATCCAGGTTCAGCCACAGTTTTGTTCCATACAGTATTAACCTTGTGAACTCTCAAGCTTCCTCCTTTCGTTATGTATGTTATGTACTGGAAGGATGGTACAAGCTGAGATCATGCAAGCAAAGCAAAACAGCTCACTGTTCTAGATTTACTATGGATAATCAGTTTCATATTGCTGGTGACACTCGAAATAAAATTTGGGATGTCTGTTTCTGACACTCCCCATATATGCTCATGTACACTAGTTTATATAAGTAAATTATATAAAGTATTTGTTACTGTTGATTAGATTAGATTTAAGTACCTACATTCAATTATATACCAACTGCTTATTTAATAATAAGGAAAGAATAAATATAAGTTAGTGCATAACCAACATCTGAAAAACTAACATTCACAATTCTTTTGTTCTCTTCTTCAGCCCCAGAAGTACTTGGTCCAGAGAAATATGACAAATCCTGTGATATGTGGTCTCTTGGTGTCATCATGTATATTCTGTAAGTGTAAAATTTAAATAACAAGTCAGAATTCTGATATGTCACACATTAGCTCAATATCCTAATGCCACTAATAAATCAGAAAAATTAGTCACTGGATCATTACTCATTCTGTCAGAAGACTCAGCAGCTCATCTGTGACTCTACATGGGACCATATATAGTAATCTTCTAGTTACCAGAAGCTCATCTGTATTTGTCCTTCTTTTGCAGTTTGTGTGGGTTCCCTCCATTCTATTCCAATACTGGCCAAGCCATTTCCCCAGGAATGAAAAGAAGAATTCGGATGGGGCAGTATGGATTTCCAAATCCTGAATGGGCAGAGGTATCTGACGAAGGTAAATGAGTGTTGTGTATGTCTCCATTTAAAACCGCATCACTGATGAGTTTTAAAAAATTGCAACTTTTAGTTGGGTAACATATGTGCTCACACAGACCTTCAAGATACAAGACTGTCTGGTGGTTAAAGCATCAGACTTAGAAAGCTGGAGACTGTGAGTTCCAATCCTGCCTTAGCCATGAAAGCCAGCTGTGTGACCTTGGGCCGGTCACTCTCTCTCAGCCCAACTCACCTCTCAGGGTTGTTATTGTGGACAAAATAGGAAAAAAATGTGGGTTGGATATGTTTGCCCCTTAGAGTTATTTGTACAAATAATAAAGGAGAGATGCAAACAAACAAACAAATAAAATTTGGCAAATTTCATGAATGCACATACCTAACTCATAAATGTTGTAAAAATAATGGTCAGAAACCAAAAAAAATAATAATAGACAAATTGAATTAAATGCCATTTCTTCCAATCTTATTTTAATATTAGAGAGAAATGTAGATGTACTGGGCCAGTAGAATATAAGCAAAAATGTATTCCGGGTAACAAATATTCTATTGCTCCACCAGTATGCCTCTTAATGTCTGGTTTTCTTTGTAATTAGCTGGTTTTCTTTGTAATTAGTATGTTTGTCTAGAGCAGGAATAGGCAATATATGGCATTCCAGAAATTGCTGTCTGTCTGACCACTACCAGCAACCATCACTATTTCTCATGCTTTTTAGGATGCTAAGAATTAAGAGCTCAGTAATATCTGGGATACCACAGCCTGCTTACCTCTAGCTTAGTACTAGATTATTGACAACAGTTGCTACTTCCAGATGTGAGATTCCATATAATAAATAATATTATACAGACATGTTCAAAATTTGTAAATTGCTCAAAAATGCATCATCCTGAGATGATTTTTCCTGCTTGGAGCCAAGTTTGCCTCATCTGGGCTAGCAAATCTAGTCATCTTTTGAGTGCCAAATTTCTGAACTGTTCCAGGCTTGGCAGCAGTGGATGACATGTCTCCTCAACCAATGGAAAATGGTTCATTCGGGAGTAAGGAATCTTTGGCCTTTCGGATATTGGTTATGCTGTCTGAAACTGAAGTCCCACAACACTTGGAGAGTCATAGATATCCTATCATAGCTTAAAGAAATCAGAGAACTGATTTAGAGTACCAGATTGGAGGAGGGTGATCCAATGATTTCAGTTTATAGAGCTCTCTAATTCCACATCATGTCCCCCCCCTTTCACATTTCTCTCCTCCCTGAAGAATTAAAATATTGCAGCAGTTAGGGTATTGATTTAAAACTGAGGAGAACTGGATATATTTGTCAAATTTATTTTATTTGTCAAATGTATATGGCCTTCTCACAAACAAATAGCTCAAGGAGGTGTATCACAAGGCTAAAAACAGTTAAATTAATAATTAGTAAAACAATATCATTATTAAAAACATTTAGAAACTATAATAAGCTATGAAGATTCATTTGGTACCAGTAATATATCTTATCATGGCTGCTAACTTTAGAGAGGAAATTGCTATGCATGGTCTTGTGCTTCTGGGTGAAAGGCAGGATATAAATGGGAAAGGATAAGCAGTTCTTAAATATAAGAATATGAATATGACATATTCATTCTACAGATAGTTATAGGTGCCATTTTTTCTAATTTGACAGAAGAGGAAAAGCGACTAGAGTGCATGAATATTCTACAATCTTTTTCTTGTATAATTTTACAAGCTCTTATTGCCTAAGTTATGTTTCTGTTTGTATTTTTTTTTTAGCCAAGCAGCTAATTCGTTTATTGCTGAAAACTGACCCAACAGAGAGAATGACCATTTCTCAATTTATGAATCATCCCTGGATTAATGTGAGTCCTGCATGATGGTCTGCCTGTGTCTTGATGTGGGTTCTAGGCAGCCTGCTGAGAAGATTTAGCATATTACTAATTGAACTAAGGCTCTATCTATAAAAAAAAATATAATTTCTCCATCACTATGAGGGAACGCTTGGAGGGTAGAGGGAAAAAACCTCTCTGTGAGTGGCAGTCAAGGACATTACACCCCCAACCCAACTGCTCTCAGCTAGATTTAGCTTTCATTGCAGTGCACACATTCTCTTTCTCTCATTTATAAAAAGTTACATTACCTCATCAACGTAGGACTTATTATTAGACCTCCGAGGCACCATCGTGCTACACAGTGTTGATATGAATAGAGACCTCCTGCGTTGAGGGCGTTCTCAGTTTTTGGCAGAGGACTGGGAAAACTCAAGATAGGGAAGGGGGAGGCTTAAGCACAGCTCTCTTAGAAAATCACACCAGAGTTGTTTCTGATGGAGATGCCAGCTAACTAAAAGGCTCTGGGAGTGGAAGAGAGCAAGCTGTTGCTGAAGCTATGAGTTTTCCATCTGCATTCTGCCAGGCAAAAGACACCAACATTTTCTGTATTGGATTCTCACATCTATCAGTGAACTTCAGATAGCTGCTATAAAAATGTATTTATATCCTTGCTAAAGAAAATCAGTCTAAAGAGATTAAATGCCTTGTGTACTCTTTCTCTTAAAAGGGACAAAGTTCAGGAGAGCAATTTGAGTGCTACATAGAGCAAATGGTTTGAGTAGAGAGCTATCATTTCTCTCAGCCCAAAGGGAATGTAGGCTGAAAAGGAATCTCAGTCTCAATAAGAAGGCCTCAAAGTTAAGCAGATAAATGAGTTGAGCCTGTCTAAGAGGAGAAAGTCCTGCTTTCCTTCCAGTCACCAAAGTCAAAAGTGAAGTATCAAGTTTTAAATTTTAAATTTATAATATAAACAGTTCTGGAGAGTCTTAGAATTTTTATGTCTCTGTTTCTATGTCAAGAAACTGTTCTAGCATCTGCCATTCCTCTGAGCCAGAAACCTAGATCGAACCACATGTGGAAACACTGACATAAGTCATAGTGCAGAACTGGTTAATTTGGACATAGAGATGTCAGTTGATCAAGAAAAAGTGTAGGCTTAGCCTTTGATTCAAGTGTTGGGTCAACCTCATTGTAAGCAGAATTTACAAACTAAAATGTAAGTGTAGCTATGATAAGAGCTTTGTTTTTAAAACTTATCTTCCTGACAGTTCCAGTTCTCATTCAGTTATGTGGCCTATAAATAAAAACATTTAAAAAAGGAGAATGGGACCTTGATGTTAAGAGCTGCAGAATTTCATACTGAGATAGAAGGCAAAACTAAATTATGTTACGAACAATACGGTTTTGAGCCTTATTATGAGGTGTGAGATTTACTTTGGGGAAAAGGTCTATCTGGAAGCTGAGAAGCAGAAGGGGATATATGTTGTACTTTTCCCTGCTGCTGCAAGCCTATCCTCCTGTTTCCTGGGGGAAGCAGGAGGAGCTCAAATGTGTTTTTCTCCTCCAGTTTTTAGGAAGTTAATTGCCATATTCTTTTGGAAGTTATGCAATTTTGTGATTATGAAAAATACGACTGTCTCCCAAAATGCAGCCGCCTACACTCTTTCTCACATAGCTTAGAAGACTTCAAAGATGTAAAATTTGTGCTGAAGAAAAAAATTCTTGTCAATTACCAATCACACAGTTGGCAGACAGTGTTCTTTAGTAGAGACAACTAAACGAAAAGAATCGTTAGGTACCACCACGGTGGTTGGGGAGAAGTGTGATGGGCTCAGGACGTTCTTCTGTTTCTGGTGACCCTACTTCACTTCCATTGCAAACACAATGTGTTGAGTTGGGTGGAGATGCTTCTTTTTATGGATAGTTGAAAAAATGATGTTCTCTCCAATTGTTTATAACCCCAAGTAGCGTGAACATACCTTCAACTCATTATTTTTTTTGCACAATGGTTGCTAAAACATATGCAGATAATTGATTGAGAGAATTACTAGTTAGGCACAGAAGGACAAGCAGGGTTTAGTGGTAGGGTGGGTGTTTATTTTTTTATATAAACTTTAGCAAAAATAGGCCCGCAGTGGCTAAAAGCCAGGAGTTTTACTTTAATTTTTCTTTAGTATGCTTTTTCAAGGAAGTTTGGAGGTTTTTGTTTTTTTTTAAATAAATGTGCTAGATCTGTCTAAATACTTATACTCTTTAAAAAAAATCTTCTGTTCTTTGGAAAATAATGGAAAAATTGTACCGTTGATGTTTGTCCAAAAGTTCTGGGGGGGGGGCTACAACAAAAGCATGTATATCACTTGTGAGGTATCCACCGTGATTCACTCAGATCCAACAAGAATAGGTAGCTTGGTCTTTCAGATGTTTTGGACTTTCAGTACCCACTTCACTCTGTCACAAGTGTTTTCTGGAAGTTTTCCAATGCCAGGTTGTCTTTGACATAGGAAAACATTAAATTCCAGATACACATGGACAGCATTAAAAATATATTACTTTGCTGAATGTTCCTTATAGGATTCACTAATATGTGATATTTAATCCTACATATAAATTTTTTATTCATTATGATCTACTACATCTGGTATATAACTTTTCTGGGGGAAACTCTATAGTTGTTACTCTTGGCTGAGATCCTTCCTTCTGTAGATAATAACAGAAGATGGGACTTTTTTTCCTTTAAATTTCACTATTACTTCTTGTGTATTTTAGGAGGAAATGACTAGCGCTTTGGCAACCATGAGAGTAGACTATGATCAGGTAAAAATTAAAGATTTGAAAATATCCAACAATCGACTCCTCAACAAACGGCGTAAGAAACAAAAACAAGGAGGCAGCTCAACTGCATCAGCTGGCTGCAACAACCAATAAAGATGAGAGAAATAAAATGAAATTATGAATTGAACTGAAATAATCTCACGCACAACTGAAACACAAAAAAGTGTGTGATAAGAACTTTTTATTTCAACGCACTGGGGTTTTTTTCTACGAATTTGTTTTTTAATCATTCTATTACATTTTACTATACTTTACCTAAGGAGCTGCAACAAACCTTCTATCAGTGAAGTTTGGATAAATAAATATTTCTTGTGGTAATGCGGGTTCAGTGCTCACAAAAGCACAGTCACAACAAGAAAATCTAAATCCCTTTTTTCATATAAAGCAATTAGAGCATCCATCTGCTTAACTCTCAGATGAATTCATAAGGACATAAACGTGCTTAATTTAGACTGGATTATGCTGAATCCATTCAAGAAATAGATTAAACCATGCATAAAACAAAGGAGTAAAAAGATCAGGTTATTACAAGAAGCAATCAGAAAGTTATGAAAAAGTAAGTTTTTCATATATTTGTTTGATTTTCATTGTTCATTTCAATTGTATTTAATGTTCTTACCGGATTAATGCTCTTATTTTATACACTGTCCATCTGTATAAGGAAGCATTGCTTTTTAGTCTTTGGGAAATATTTACAATGTCAGGCTTAAGGGATTATTACAAGCTTGTTTCCATGCACACAAATTTCTTACATTCAGATCAGTGTAGGTAAGAGCAGTGTAAATTAGTCATACATGGTGTGGGCGCACTTTTTTTTTTTAAATGCAGGAAACTTTCACTGGCTGCCTTGTAGGATCCTTGTAGCAAAACAGATATGAATGCAGTTGCTACATTTTACGATTTAGATGTTCCATTTCCTTGTTTATATATAGGCCATAATTTATTATCACAGATTTTTTTCAACTGTTTATTTTTTAAATTAGATATCAAAGATTAATAAACCAAAATATCATTATGTCAGCATCCACAACTTTGCACAAAGATTTTAGTTGAAATTTTACACAGTTCAGAAGGAAATGATTCCCAGGTGCATTATGATTTTTACTAAAAGAACCATGATAGGCAGGCAGAACAGGTAAAAGGCACCCTTTTTACATTCTTTTCCAGCGGTAGAAAGCTTCAAGTGGTCTGGGGTTGACATGGTGGCATCTTCAGAGAGGACAGAGGCAGAATTATTGCCCTGAGATAGGGTATTAGTTTGCCTATTCTGTGAACTGGGTGATTGATATAGCACTTTTCATGTACTGTCCACATGTAAAAAGTTTAAAACATAGGCACGTGCCCCGAGTGCTTCTAAATTCAAAGAGGAAATGTCCAAACTTGACATATATGAATATGTATGTTACCACAGTTGTTTTTACATATCATATATATTATTTCTTAATACCCTGTAGATTAGGGTAGATGGGATAACAAAAAATGAAGTCACTCAAGCAATTTTTCTGGTGTTTTTTTTTGGAGAGTTTAGATATTTCAGTACGGTGATATATGCACCAAGAAGAGAAGGTCTCAAAACGGGTGGATTGTCACACAATATCTCATAATAACCTTGTCCTATGAAACTGCCTTACATACCAATTATCTTTATTCAAATCATTTCATTGTCCAAACATTTTCTTTCAAAAGGGATACTCCTGACTATTTTCCACACATGCAAATGTGGCCCTCTAGGAAGGAGGTGAGAACAGATCCATCTCTCTCTCTGAGCTTTCATTTGTGCTACTGTTTTTGAGATGCTAACAAACGGCAGGTGCTTGTTTATGTTACTTCTCATTTCTAACACTCACTGCAGGAAAGAGAAATCCTTTAATGGCTTCCATGTTTGTCAGAGGGCTCAAGGGGGAGATGAAGTCTTCTCCTAATTGTACTTGTAAGATGATAAATAATTGCGGATGAATTGTTTTGTTCCTTACATTCTCCAAACCAAGTCTGCTGCACAAGCCAGGAGACCAGAGATGGAGGAAGAAAATTTGTGGCTGTTAAACCAAAAAGCATTGGTGACTTTGTATTGTATCCTTATTCTAGAATTATAAGGATTAATCTGCAATGAAGTAAATTTCTATTAATTACATAGGTGCCTCTCTTTGATTTGCAAGTATATTAAATTGATGTTAAAAGCACTTCAGACTCTTTGTGAAATGCTAACATTTTGCAGATATTAATAAAATGGTGCTTTACCCATTTTTTTTCTTAAATGGACCTCGCTCTTTTAATAAATCTGCCTTTGTGATATTTTACTTTCAGTTCTAGGATGACAGATTTCTTCTCTTTTCTCTCCTTCAAAGAATGTGAAGCAAACTTAATCTGAAGGCATGATTTTTGTCCATGTGTTACTTGTTTTAATATTCAATTTAACTAAATTTAGAGCAACTGTAAGTTAGCAGTAGTCACTAGGTGGCAGCACTTAGCCCAACCTTGGCTGCTCTTAAAAAATAAACATGGCTGGATCTGGTTAGTACTTGAATCACCAGGGCTAGAGGGTAGGTTTGAAAATTGAAAAAAAAAAAGCCTATCAGAAGAAGGCAGTGACAAACATTTTGGAAATGATGGCAAAAAACATCATGGACGTCTCTCTGTAGCCACCAGAAGTCAAGCATGACTTGAAAATACTTTACTTGAGAATAACTTTTAAAAAGCAAAAGGCTTTTTTTAAAAAAAAGCAGAAACAAAAAATCCTTACCTACTCTTAAGGTTATTCAGACTCCACAATTACCCAATATTTACCAAAGTGCCACAATTCATTGTCAGATGACATGTTTCACATTTCCTTTATTACTAAGATGGCTAGTGCCAGATAACTTTGAGAACAGCTGTTACTCTTTCATCACTGGTGAAGTAGATAGACATAAGATCTGACTTCTGTGCAGTGCTTTGGATTCAATCTCCCAAAAAGTATGGAGCATGCAGACTGCGCTGTGCACAGCACCTTAAAAACAGCAATGGCTTTTCTTGAAATTGGAGGGCAGATGCAGGAGCCTGGGAAAATATTCAGTTTTAAGATGTTACAAACAGGCAACTTAGTTATATTAGGTGGCTTTCCAAAGCTGTTTGTTGCCCATAGATTTATTTGCTGAATCAGTCTTGCTTCCAAGTGGAATTATTGATCCTTTTTGGATTTCTGGCTAACCTTAGTGCTGGTTTTGGCCAATTAAAGATGACTATATAATTTTAGACAATCCCCCCTTTCCTTTTTCTTTGATTTGAGTCAGATTGAACCTTGATGTGCACCAATTACATTTCATGTTCATAATCTTACATTTTGAATAACAGGAGCACGAGGAATTGATGAAGAGGAAGGTTTTATAAATCTCACAATCGCACAATTATAAGCCACACCTCTGCAAGGCCTCAAGGAAGAGGCTTTCTCCAATTCCTTATGGCAGTGGTGGCGAACCTATGGCACGTGTGCCAGAGGCGGCACTCAGAGCCCTCTCTCTGGGCACGCACCGTTACCCCAGCCCCACCTCCGCTGCGGCCCCATCACCAGCAGCCCCCCTGTAGAGTCGCCCCCGAGCGGTGCAGCTAAGAACATGGCAGCCAGGCAACAGGGACAAGACTCTGCCTTCGTGCCCTGATGCGCACAGATGATGCTATTGGGTACGGGTGAAGTGTGTGGCTGCCATGGCGATCTGCAGCTGGCCATAGAGGTGGTGGGTGGCCCTGCGAGTGGGCGGGATGGAGCAGGCGGGTGGGCTAGGGGGCGGACTGGTTTTTGGGCACTTCGTCTCTAAAAGGGGAATAATATGATACAAAAAATGATGCTATGGCCCTAGAAAGAATGCAGAGAAGAGCAACAAAGATGATTAGAGGTCTGGAACTAAACCATACGATGAATGGTTAAAGGAACTAGGTATGTCTACCCTAACAAATTAGGGGCCACATGATAGTCGTCTTCCAATACCTGACGGCCAGTCACAGAGATGAGGAGGTTGACGTATTCTCCAAAGCATCTGAAGGACAAGGAAGCTCAAAAAAGAAAGATCCAGCATGGAACTAAGGAAGCATTTCCTGACAGAGCAATTAACTCATAGAACAGCTTGTCTTCCAGGAGTGGTGGGTGCCCATTACAGGTTTTCAAGAAAAGATTGGACAACCATTTATCTGGGATGGAGTAAAGACTCCTGTCTTGGCCAGAGGGTTGGACTAAAAGATCTCCAAAGTCCCTTCCAGTCCCACGATTGTATGATTCTGTGAATATGGGGGAAATCGCCTGTGAACACAGTAAATATTATAAGACAAAGTACAGGAAAACCAGGTGTTACTGCTCTTCAATTCTAAATCTTACAACTATCAGTAAATATTGCATTGGTCAAGAATGGCAAAAAATGTGACAACATAATAGATGAAGGCACAAAAGAGAATTATCTGTAAAATTGAAAGATTTCTTAGAAATACACAAGCAACTCATCATGCAACTGTTGTTTTCTGAGAAAGGATATAACCTCAGAGGAAATTGTTTCCAAGCAGCACAATTCCTCTGAAACACATTTTCTTTTACTGTATACGAACCCCCTTCTATGTTCTGGATATATGTTGAGTACCTCTGTGATTAGGCTATGAAGCAAGATAGCACTGAGTTGAATTTAAGTCCCGGCAACTGGATGAACAAATGCTTGCCATTTTTACTATAAAAATATTAGCTTCCTGAGAACATTCTAGTTCACAGGTGTCAAACTGCCGGCCCGCGGGCTGGATGCGTCATGCGGAAGCCGCGCCCACCCCATTGCTGGCAATGGCAAAACTCTCCCGAGTTTTAATCCCAGCCCTCCATCTTCTCCATTGTCTTTCTCTTTTTTAGCCTTCTAGTGTAATAATTTTTTTCTAGTCCACCATGCATTCACACCAATGCCAAAAGTATATGCTTCTTCATGTTATTTTCCAGTGGAACAGTCAGTTTTTATTTGGACCATGACTGAGTGGCTGATCAAGAGTTCAATGGATAATTTATTTGTTCCTGTTCCCTTTCTATTTGATAGGTGATATATTGTTTGTTCTTTATTTTTTACTGTAATCACTCTTTAAGTATATAATTTTTCTAAAAATATTTTCCATTCTATAATCCAGTTTGTAAAGGGTTTCAATAATCTATCTTCTATTAATCTTATTTGCCTCTATCAGATTCATTCTGTGGCTACTAATATTCTTACCTTACCTGTACATTTTCTGTGATTTCTGTGATTTTTTGAAAACATCTATTTTTCTTTTTATTATTGTTATATTTCTTGATTATATATCTTTCTGAGTTTTTTTTTTGCTTGAGGTTGTTTTATGTCCCTGCTGTCCAAGCCTTTCATCATTTCCTGATTATGATAGCTTATTCTGAAAGCTATTTATATACATATAAGCCCATCACAATATTTCATCACATATAAATGCATCCCAATATTCCTTTGTATTATAAAAATGCATTATAAAAAATGCAGGAAAAGCAGTTTCTAATATACAACAGTTTGAATAGGAACTTGACTTGAGAAGAATACCTTTGACACAACCAGTAGCAATTAAAAATCCTGAGCAAGAAAAAACAAAAAACGCTGATCCACTCAACAATGAATCTTCTATAAGAGAAGATCTTATCAGTATTATCAATATCACCAACTCCCATATTGAGATCTTAAAGAATCAGAGAATTCAGAGCTTTAATGATGTGTCCATTGGCAGAGATTTGACTATGTCTTTCCCAGTAGATGTGTCAGTCAGAACCCAGATTCAAGTGTCTGAGGTTTTGGCAATAGAAATTTGCAAAATTATCACAATAAAGCAGAAGTTTTTAGAATAAAAAGCAGAGAGAGAGAGGGAGGGAGGGAGGGAGGGAGGAAGAGAGAGATTCGATCTGCTGATTTCACTGCTAAAGCTGGTTCTTTGGCACTGCTGCTCCCTGATTTTGAACCACATCTAGAGAGTCACTATCATCCCCTGGTATAAAACACACTATTGCAAAACGAGTTAGTGAAAACAGAGGCAAAGTATACCCAGAATTTGGAGGTTATTAACAATGTGCTGCAATCCGGATGAAATAAAAGGTTAATGTTCTAAAATCTAAATGAATGATGAAAGTCTCAAGATCTTTCAGAAATTTGCTCAGGACGAATTGCAAACAAACTGTAGAAATGCCGGATAAAACCGTACAATCAGCTGATAAGAAAATTCAAGTCAATCTTTCCCACACTGAAGAGGAAGTATTCCCTTTGTCCACTATAGTAAAGATCAGCAGTGATATTACTGTTAATGTCAGCAGCTTAAGCCGTAAATTTAGGGCAGCTTATGTTGTTTATACATTTCACTCATCTAAAGCCTATTATCAAATCCTATTTGGCCCTAAATCACAATGTAAATCAATTCTCAGGAAAAGAAACAAAGCTTTGCATATTGACCTCAATTATAGTTGATATGATGTGTACTTTGATTTCAGCACTCTAGATAAGTGGTCTCCAGTTACTTTAGCAGATGTGAACAAATTGATAAGAGTATTTTAAGTTTGGAACAGCCTTGTGTAATGATCTTATATTTTCTGAAGTAATCAAATTGAACTACAACTGGCAGATCCCCTTGCTGGCATCTATTTACATTTATTGATGAAAAAGGCAAATAACTAAGAATGAGGTTTTAGCAATAGCTCTTTTTTACAAGAAAAACAACAAGGAAGATCCAGTTAAGTACAGACTTATTAGTCTGTTAAGAGTTACAAGTAAACAATATACAAAACATCTAAATAACATTTCAGGCCTGACTGGAATGAGAAGAAATTTTAGGAGATAAACAAGCCAGCTTTAGAAAATGTCAACTATTTTGTTACTGCACAAGATTTAGAAGAATGTGCACAATTTACAATCCCCTTTATATGTGGCATTCTTGTACTTCAAATTTGCTTTTATTTTATAGATGGAAATATTCTGTGAAATAACATCATAAATAGCACTGTAGAGTACATCATCTTTATTTGTTCTCCAATCTGTACTCTACCTGCCCCTTGATTGGTACTTTTTGATTTGATATCCCTATGGAGAGGGATATGGCAGCGGTGCATTCTAGCCCCTGCCCTGTTTGTTTATTAATTCTATGATCAAACCAGTGAACAGCTCTGACTGTCATGTCCCCAGGTTAGCAGGCCTCAAGATCAAGTGTGTAGGCTTTCATAGCTGATATCTGTTGGGGAGTTTCAGCTTTAGGGTTTAGTGACCTTGGTCCCAGACAGCAGATTTTCTGAAATTTCTCTTGCAATTATGGGTGACTTCTTCAGCGTGGTCCGCTATGCACAGCCTACCCTATATATTTCGTATTTGCCCATGTGAAACTGGGGGTAGTGAAGCAGCCCTTTTGTGTGCAGCCCACTCTTTTGCCAAATATTCATCCCTTGCAATAAATCACATTCTGCCCCATTGCCTTCTACTAGCATTTACTTGTCTTAAAATGTCTCTATCCATTTTCTGTTTTTTTTTGTTTTTTTTTTATTAAACTTTCAATCCAGATTGCCATTTTCTTTGAAATGTTGGGGCTTCTCTCCATTTGGGTTTTCTTATCCCATTCCTTATCATTTCCCACAGATTTTCAGGTTTTTTTTCTTCTGAGTGTACTAAATGTATGTACACAGGTAGTCTTTGACTTACAACCACAAATGGGACCAGAATTTCCACTGCTAACAAGACGGTTGTTAAATGAGTTGCACACAATTTTATGACCTTTTTTTTTTTGCATCACACAGTTTTTAAGTGACTTCAGCATCCCCAAGTGACCTTGCTTATCAGAAGCTAGCTGGGAAGGTTGCAAATGATGATCAATGANGATCTTCCCAGGTATTGAGGTCAGGCTGATAGGTCTGTAATTTCCTGGGTCCATTTTTTTTCCTTTTTTGAGGATGGGAACTACATCAGCTCTTTTCCAGTCCTCTGGTAGTTCCCCTGTGCTCCAGGATCTCTGAAAAATATAGTTCAGTGGTTCAGAGATCACATTTGCTAGTTCCTTGAGAACCTTGGGGTGTAATTCATCTGGTCCTGGCGATTTGAACTCGTCTAGGCTGGACAGGTGCTTACTTACTATTTGATGGCAAGGTGCTAGGCTGGACAGGTGCTCACTTACTAAATGATGGCAAAAAACATGGACGTCTCTCTGTAGCCACCAGAAGTCAAGCATGACTTGAAAATACTTTACTTGAGAATAACTTTAAAAAAGCAAAAGGCTTTTTTAAAAAAAGCAGAAACAAAAAATCCTTACCTACTCTTAAGGTTATTCAGACTCCACAATTACCCAATATTTACGAAAGTGCCACAATTCACTGTCAGATGACATGTTTCACATTTCCTTTATTACTAAGATGGCTAGTGCCAGATAACTTTGAGAACAGCTGTTACTCTTTCATCACTGGTGAAGTAGATAGACATAAGATCTGATTTCTGTGCAGTGCTTTGGATTCAATCTCCCAAAAAGTATGGAGCATGCAGACTGCGCTGTGCACAGCACCTTAAAACAGCAACGGCTTTTCTTGAAATTGGAGGGCAGATGCAGGAACCTGGGAAAATATTCAGTTTTAAGATGTAACCGGCTGAGCTGCTCAGACAGAGAATCAGATTCAGACTTCCTTCCTTCTTCCTAGCCACATCAATAATAATAATAATAATAATAATAATAATAATAATAATAATAATAATAATAATAATAACAAAAACAACAATAAAAAAGAAAGAAAATAAAAATAAATAAATTGATAAAAAGAGTTAAATCAATTATCAATTAATCCTAAATTAATCTGAACTGAGAATCCCTTCAGTCTTATAAATGGCAGATACAATCACAGCCCAAACAGCGCAGGAACCTTCCATCAGCAGCCCTCCTGCTCGTAAGAGACAGAGATCCTCCAAACAGGAAGTGGCTGGCAAGATCAAGGCCAAGGCAATCTCTGCAAAAAGGCCTTCCAAAGCTGCGGATAGAGAGGCTAAGCGACGACACCAGGCCCTAGAGAAACAATTTTCTCAAGTGGAAAGGAGGCAAAATTCCACTGAGGAGGAATTAGAGCCACCCAATTACAGGGAGGAGGAAATATTTGGGCCAAGGAAGCCTAGTCAGGACCCTCTGGAAGCTGAAGCTGATACGGAACAGGGGAATGGATCTTCCCTAAGCGAGAGGCCTGGAGATCTGGGTTCAGAATCAGGCACCCATCGCTCAGACATTCATGCAGCAATGTCTTCAGAGCACCTACAATCCCTGATATCTCAGGCTGTTGCACAAGCCATGGCCTCCTCAAGGCACCATTGTTCCAGAACAGGGTCTGTGGCTTCAAGGGGTGCCTCCTTCTCCCAAGAGGAGGCCTCTGTATACCAAGACTCTATTTCTTCCTTTAGGTCCTCCAGAAGCAGGAGGGCTCCTGCGGAGGACCACGAGCTTACGGACCAGAGGCTGTCCGATGAAGAGGATGTATCTCCAGATCCTCCTCCGTTTGTGGGCCTCTTTAACCCGTCCTTATTCAAGACACTGCTGCACAAGGCCAGCAGCACCGCAAACATCGAGAGGCCCCCGATTCCACAGAAAGAACCTTCCACTGGTCCCTCAACTAGTAAGGTCACAAACAACGAGGTGTTCTCACAGCCCACTTTATACCCAACATTTTGTTCCCTGCCCTCCTCTCTTCTTTGATTCTGTTCAGAACAATATGGGGGCACCGGGTTCCTTCCTCCCAATGGGGGGGGCAGACAAGAAAATGTTCAACATAGACCCGGCGCTATCAGAAATAATAGAAGTGCCGACAGTAGATGAACCCATTGCAACCCTTTTTTCTCCACCCCCGATAGCCGGGGATGCAGCGGAGGCCCTGAAATCAGAGGACAAGAAGATGGACCTCATCTTCCGCAGGGCGCACCAAGCCTCAGCGTGGGCCATCAAGGCAGGCTTAACTACATCATTTTTCGCCAGGACATCTCTTCTTTGGCTGTGCCAACTCCAGTCGAGTATTCCCCCAGTGGAGGAGAAGACTCATCAGAATTTAAGAAGGTTAGTAGCGGCAGCGGAGCTCATGTCAGATTCCTCCTTACATGCAACCAATTTCTCTGCCAGAGCAATAGCATACAACACTGGTGCACGCAGATTGCTGTGGCTCAAACATTGGAGAGCAGACATGAAGGCTAAGTGGCG